GGGGGGGGTGCTCCCGGTGGGCTGCTGGGGGCACGTCCACGGCAGAACCGGGAGGGGCTCCGCGTCCTGAAGACCGCCCGAACCACTGCAGCTCACGGAGAGCACCAGCCAGCCACGCGGACGCCGGGGGTGCCTCGCGGGCCTCACGCCGACCCCCAGCTTGCCGGAGCCTGTTCCCAGGCCAGGCGCCGTTGAGGCAGGTGCTCAGCCCAGACAGGGCTGTGCTGACCCCCCCAGCCTGTCCTGGGCACACTGATTTGCCTGGGAAGGGGCCAGGTGGGCGCACGCCCCCGGACACCCCAAGCCTGAGGACCAGCCAGTGGGGGCGGGTGTCAGGGGCGGCGCTCTGCTGCGGGGGAGCCCCGGGGAGGGAAGTGGTCTCTGCCTTCGGAAAGCCACAGCATCAGACAAGAAAACCAGCCCAAATCCGGGGGATGAGTCTGTCCCTTCAGGGGGCGGGGCATAGAGTTACCCGCAGGGGGCGCCATCAGCCCACGGTCAGAGGGGGACGCAGGGCGTGCAGGCGGCCACGGTCGGCTGGAAGGGACCGAGGCCTGGGGCCGACCCGAGGACCGTGCACGGGCCACCAGACCACGGCCATCAGGGTGGACCTCGGATTAAGGGTGGGCCCAGGTGGGGGCAGGGAGCCGGGGGGCCCCTGGGGTGGGCGTGGAAAGACTCTGCCCCTGCGCACGTGTGCGGGAGGCCCATCAATCGCGCCACGCACAGGGGGGTCTTTTAGGAAGGGGGTCTCCTGTGCTCCTGGCCTGGAACCTGGGCCTCCAGGCATGAACAGTGAGGACCCAAGGAGAGGATGACCCACTGGACACCCAGGCAGCCAGCCCGGCGGCACGTCCAGCACCGGGGCCCCAGGGAAGGGGCAGCGCCCTCTCCAAAAGGCAGGCGCGGGGGCGCTGCACAGGGCGGGAGTGGGGTCCGGGAGCAACTCTGGTCCCGGAGCTCAGCCCCACCCGGAGGTCACCTGAGAGGCCTCCCCTCTCGGACGGTGGTCTCCGCATCTTTACCCCGCACAGGGCTCAACTAGGGGTCCTTCCGGCGTGGCTCTCTGAGCCTGGGCACAGGCAGGCAGCTTCCCATCAACAGTCAGCCTGTGAGGGCCAGCAACTGCCGCGGACCAGGCCCCTCCAGAGCCAGACGGAAGCCCGGTTCCCTCTCCCACCGTCCTCGTAATAACAGCGCCAGAAAGGGCCAAGCGTGGACAGAGACCAGGAACGCGAGCCCCGGGTGGGAAGAAATGGCACTGGAAGGTTCTGTGTCCTGACCCGGGGCAGGGGGCCTGCAGCACACCGCCCAGCACCCCCAGTCAGGACGGCCAGCCTCCGGGAAGGGGGTCCGGTCAGGGCCACGTGGCCAGACGACCCCTGGGGAGGGGCAGGCAGAGAGACCGCCTTGTGTTTGTGCAAAAATAAAGTCAAGTTCTGACGGAATGACTTGCACCTGCTACAAAGGCCCCCCAGTGGGTAATCGGGGACATCCCGACAGGAGCGGGTCCTGCAGGTGAGCGGGTGCCCCCAGGCACAGAGCCGGCTTCCCTGGCCGCCCCCAGGCCTACCTGCTCCATTATTGACCTGGGCCTGTCCTTTCGGGGGCTGCTGAGCTGGCGCCTCCTCGGCTCTTGGAGGGAGGGAGGAAAAGCAAGATCTCTGTTAGTTCACGACACGGCCTGAGTCTGGACTCGGCAAAGCCATTCCCAACATGCTGGTGCCCAGTCCCACCCGCTCAGCTCCCTCTGAGGTCCTGACCACCCCACTCAGATGCAGGCCGAGGGCAGCGGGGCGAGCGCAGAGCTGCATCCCTGACGGGCACACAGTCTGCAAATGCAGAACTCTTTCTTCCCTATTAATTTTGACTCATCTGTTTATCTTTTATTAAGCTCAGAGTAAGCAACTCTTATACCAAGTACTGGGGCTTCCCTGATAGCTCAGCTGGTAAAGAATCTGCTGCAATGCAGGAGACTCTGGTTCGATTCCTGGGTCGGGAAGATCCAGTGGAGAAGGGAAAGGCTCCCCACTCCAGTATTCTTGGGCTTCTCTTATGACTCAGCCCACAATGCGGGTAAAGAACCCGCTTGCAGTGAGGGAGACCTGGGTTCTATCCCTTTCTTGGTCAGGAAGATCCCCTAGAGAAGGGAACAGCTACCTACTCCAGGATTCTGGCCTGGAGAATTCCATGGACTGTACAGTCCATGGGGTTGCAAAGAGTTGGACACGATAGGGACTTTCACTTTCAAACTGATTCCTGGGCCCAGTGAAAAGGTACTTATCAACACAAGCACCATGCAAGGCCACAGGTTGGGTGACCCCCGCCCGCCCAGCAGGCTGTGCCCAGGTCCCCGCTTGGTCCGTGCCAGGCTCCCTGCCATCACAGTCTATCTTGCTGCACCTGACCATAGCGGTCCCCGGCCTTGGCGCCTCCCCGGGGCCCCTGTCCACCAGCGGGCTCCTGACCACGGACCTGACTTTCAGCTGCAGGCCCTGACGGCCGGGCCCCCACCTGCCCCCCTCGCCCTGTGCTGGGCTTCTGACAACCACTCTGCCACTATGCTTCCCAGCCCAGCAGAGACCCCAGGACGTGGGGAAAGCGGCGCCCCAGGCAGACCTCGGTGGGACTGGAGGTACAGGGGGCCCCCAGGACAGACAGTGGGGCCCGGAGACCCTCAGCAGGTACACACCCTCTGCATCCTGCTATCCACATGACTGATCTGTTTTTAAAATTTATTTTTTGTATTTGGCTGTGCTGGGTCTTAGCTGTGACATGCAAACTCTCAGTTGCAACATGTGGGATCTCGTTCCCTGACCAGGGATGGAACCTGGGCCCCCTGTGCTGAGAGCACGGAGTCTTAGCTTGGACCACTGGGGAGGCGTCGTCCCCCCCGCACCCCGCACAACGTGATCTTACAAGAGCGAAGAACCTTGTGTGTCTGGTCACAAGTTAATCACTAAAAGGATGTTGCCTATAAGCTTTAACTACACATAGTGGCCCATCTCTGGGAACCATGCCTCCCAGGGAATGAGCATTAGGCTAAAATACTTTTGTTTAGGTCACTGGAACCCTCTGGACCAGGCCCACCTGTGAATGACTGCAGGAGGCATAAATTCACACATCCCCTCCGGAAGCTGCGGGGAACCGGGAAGTGTCTGACTTAGGTCCCTCTCTGTTTAGTATAAAAGGGGCCTTTATTCTAACTCGAGCAAGATGGATCCTTGGGGGCATATGCCCCCGCCTTCTGAGTCTGTTGGCTTTTAGGATAAAGTCATTACTTCCGCCATAACAACCTGTCTCTCAATTACTAGCCTGTCGGGCAGTGAGCAGGACAAGCTCAGACTCGGAACGACCCCAGTTCAATGTCTCCGGGAACCGGCCCGGTCTGCAGCTCCGTAACCACAAGCCATTGTGGCCATGCGGTGCCGGAGCGGGATGCACAGAGGACCAGCTGGATCAGAGGGCAGGGCGTGCAGGGGCCACGGATGCAGCCTTGTCAAGTGACGGACAGGGAGCCAGCAGACAGACGGGGCCCCAAAGAAGGGAGCCGCGGTCAAGGAAGAGGGGCGAGGCCTCCACGCCCACCCCTCCCGGCAGCCAGGCTGCCCAGAGGACCTTCTGTGCCCAGGGCTCCGGACAGATGGGGGTTTACTGGGAACGGAGCGGGGCCGGGACACGCAGGGGATCCATTCCCGGCCCGGCTTCTTCTGTTTCCGGGCAGGGGTCCAGGCCTTTGCCAGGACAGTCCCTGAACCGGCCAGGGGTCCCAGATACGGGGGCACACCCAGGAAGCGCTGACGGCAGGTTCCCGGGGATGGCTGGACCCAGGTGTTGAGCTGGGCAATTCCCGGCCCAGCTTCCTCTGTTTCCGAGCAGGGGTCCAGGCCTTTGCCAGGACGGTCCCTGAACTGGCCAGGGGTCCCAGACATGGGGGTGCACCCAAAATGCGCTGATGGCAGGTTCCCGGGGGCGGCTGGGCCCAGGCGTTGAGCTGGGCACGCGCGGGCGCAGGGACACCCAGCGCCAAGCCACAGGCGGCCGCCGGTCTCCTCCGATGATACTGACCCGGCACAGACACTGGGTGGGCAACTCCCCAGCAAAGTCACCCACTGAAACCAACAGGCAGGGGCCGAGCTCGCGGGGGCAGACGCATGGGAGCCCACGGCACCCCTCCAGGAGCGGGGGCAGGACACCTGGCTGCCCCGCGATGGGAGGACCCCGCAGGAGGAGGAGCTGGTCCACGGCAGGCTGGCCCCAAGGTCGCGGCGGGCGCGGGGCGTCTGCCACAGGCAGTGATGCCAAGAGTGCGGGGTAGGGAGGTGTCCAAGGGGGGAACAGGGGCAGCGGGCCGGGGGGAGGGTGGAAAAGCGCCAAGGCAGGCTGGCAGGGCCCCAGGGTCCTGGGAGCGACAGGCAGCCGAAACTGGGGGACACATGGCAGCCCAGGGCTCTGTGAGCCGCTCTGCAGCCCGGCTCCTCCGGGGCCCCCTGGGCTCCGCTGTGACTCCTCCCCATCCCCCCCCAGTGTGGAAAAGGAACACCTGCACCCCTTTCCAAACAAACGCCCCAGGGCACAGGAGGCAGCCACCTTCCCAAGACCACAGCTCGTCACGGGCACAGGCAGGACACAACCCAGAACTTCAGGGCCGGGCCCGCCCGCTCCACCCGCCCCGGGCCCTCGTGATGCCCTGGGTGTGTGGGGGCCGGGAGGGCCTCGGAGGTGTCGGAGGGCGCCCCCCTCACTGAGGACCCCTGCCCGGGGCACCGGTACACACAGCCCCCGAGTAGGGAGGGCGACGAGCCGTGAGTGCCCCGTGAGAACAGAGGCTGGGGGCGAGGGGCCCGCAGGCCTCCTGGGAGGGCTTAGGCCGCAGCTGGAGGTGGGCAGACGGGGAGAGCAGAGGCCACAGCGCACTGCGGCCGGCCACCAGCGTCTGCGCGGGGTCTCGGCTCGGGGACCCTGCCCACCAAGGGGCAGCGCCGCCTGGCTCCGCCCGGCCCCCCAGCATAGACACCTGGCCCTCCCCGCCTCCCGCCCTGGGGGTGGTCCTCACTGGCCCTCCCCGCCTCCCACCCTGGTTCTCATGGGCCCTCCCTGCCCTCACCTGGCCTTCAGCACTTCCTGGACCTTCTGCTCCAGCTCCATCCTCCGCTGCCGCTCACGGTCCAGCTCCTGCCGCAGCATCTCTGCGTTTGTTTCCTCTCGCAGCTTCCGGAGCTCCTCCTCTGTGAGGGAGAGGAGCCAGGTGAGCGTCACGTGGCCTGTCCCGCCGCCGCGCAGAGGTACCCCGGGAGTGCTGAGACACGGACAGCGGCAGCTGCCCCGCTCCATCCCGGGGGCACCCCACACCCGCAAGAGTGTATCAACCAGGGCTCCTCCTACACTGTCCAGGCAAGGCCTCGGGCAGCGCAAGCTGAGGGTCTCTTTACTTTACGTAACCCATTCAAGACAGATGCACAGAAAGGCCCTTCACCAAACCCTCTCCAGGGGCAGGACCCTTGAGGAAGGGATGCTGGCGGCACCTGGTCACCCCACAGACACACGTGCAGTGTGAGCAGTTCTGGGAGGCCTTGGCCACTGAGCAAAGCCCCTACAAGAGGCAGAAAGCCTGCTGCTGGCTGCTGACCACCTGAGAACCGACAGTGGGCAAATGAGAAATACGGCAAGAGAATGAGCCGGTGCTCATAAAAACCCGCACCAAGATGATGCACCTGAGTCAGGAAGTGGACGGATGCACAAAAGGTCAGGGATCCTGGGGGGAGCATCGGGTGAGTGGGGGGCAGCCTGGGGGAGGCCGGGGCGGCAGGGCCTCGGGGTGAGCGAGCACATCCTGATTACGGGGTGGGACCAACGTCGTCACGATGGAGCAAGCTCGGGAGGAGCCAGGGGGTCAGGGGTCAGAGGAAGGAGGGGGGCCCACGGGCCTGGGAGCAGGGGCAGCGTGAGCAGCTGAGGACGCGAGGACACAGGGTCCCCCTGGACCCCCACAGGAGCACTGCCTGGGACACAGGGACCCCCAGGCCTCCAGAAGAGGGGCCAGGAGGACTCCACACCCACTGCACAGGGAGCTGGGCACGTGTCGCACGCCCGGAGGCTCTGTCAAAGTGGGGACGCTGCCGTGATGCAGCACCCACACCCTGCCAGGAGTGGGCATCCGCTGGTGCCCCTGGGCACGTGCGAACTGGCTCCATTTCAGTTCAGTTGCTCAGTTGTGTCTGACTCTTTGCGACCCCATGGACTGCAGCACGCCAGGCATCCCTGTCCATTACCAACTCCCGGAGCTTGCTCAAATTCATGTCCATCGAGTCAGTGATGCCATCCAACCGTCTCATCCTCTGTTGTCCCCTTCTCCTGCCTTCAATCTTTCCCAGCATCAAGGTCTTTTCCAATGAGTCAGCTCAATTTATCAGGTGCCCAGAGTATTGGAGTTTCAGCTTCAGTGAGCATCAGTCTTCCCAATGAACACTGAGGGTTGACCTCCTTTAGGATTGACTAGTTTGACATCCTTGCAGGCGAAGGGACTCTCAAGAGTCTTCTCCAGCACCTCAATTTGAAAGCATCAATTTTTTGGTTCTCAGCCTTCTTTATAGTCCAACTCTCACATCCATACATGACTACTAGAAAAATCATAGTTTTGACTAGACAGACCTTTGTCAGCAAAGTAATGTCTCTGCTTTTTAATAACTATTTAGGTTTGTCAGTTTTTCTCCCAAGGAGCAAGTGTCTTTTAATTTCATGGCCACAGTCACCATCTGCAGTGATTTTGGAATAAAAATAAAGTCTGTCACTGTTTCCATTGTTTCCCCATCTATTTGCAATGAAGTGATGAGACCAGATGCCATGATCTTAGTTTTTTGAAAGTTGACTTTTAATCCACCTTTTTCACTTTCCTCTTTCACCTTCATCAAGCAGCTCTTTAGTTCCTCTTTGCTTTCTGCCATAAGGGTGGTGTCATCTGCATATCTGAGGTTATTCATATTTCTCCCAGCACTCTTAATTCCAACTTCTGCTTCACCCAGCCCGGCATTTCGCATAATGTACTCTGCATATAAGTTAAATAAACAGGGTGACAATATACAGCTTTCACATACTTCTTTCCCAATTTGGAAACAGTCTGTTGTTCCATGTCCAGTTCTAACTGTTGCTTCTTGACGTACATACAGATTTCTCAGGAGGCAGGTAAGGTGGTCTGGTATTTCCATCTCCAAGAATTCTCCACAGTTTGTTGTGATCCACAGAGTCAAAGGCTTCAGTGTAGTCAGTGAAGCAAAAGTAGATGCTTTTCTGGAATTCTCTTGCTTTTTCTACGATCCAATGAATGTTGGCAATTTGATCTCTGGTTCCTCTGCCTTTTCTAAATCCAGCTTGAACCCCAGGGCCCCCAGAAACAACTCCCTGTGGGACCCTGGACCCACAGGAGGCAGGCGTCCTGCCCCAACACAGGCAGGCCTCTTCTCGGAGGACCGGTCCCCACTGGCAGCGCGAGAACCGCAGCTCTGGCGCCACGTGGAGGCAGTCTGCCCTCCTGAGCGCCTACGAGCTCCACTCAGCGCCCCACGGGACCCACCTCTGAGGCACCCCCTCCCCACCTCTCGAGGGCAGGCCAGGGAGCTGCACGGGGGATGTCGGGGTGGACGCTCTGCACCGCCGCACCCTTGCTCCTGGGGCCACGGGCGGGTGTTGCGTGCCTTCCCATCTGCTCCTCTGGCCCCCAGTTGCCTCCACGGGCCTCGAGAGTCAAGCTCCAGATCCCTCCTCTGCCCACGGCGCCTTCGGCAGGAAGCCCGTTTTCCTCAACACGCCTGAACTCCCTCGCTGCCGCTCAGCCGAGAGAGGTCAAGAGCAGGGCGCAGTGCGCGGGGCTGCCAGCCAGGCCGCCCGGGCCGACGGAGCACGTCTGGTCACTCGGCCCCCGCCCCGAGCCCCGGGGGTGCTCTGCGTGTGACTGCACGTGTGCACGCACGCTCACGTCCCCAGTCCTGAGGCCGGGGGCCTCGGGCAGTGACCTGTCACCCTGGGCTCCTGACAGAGCCCCCTGGGCCCTCCCTGCCTTCCCACAGCACCGCCCCCTCAAGTTGCCCCCTGCTCCGGGTGGGGGGTGCCCTGGCTCCTCCCCCCTCCCCGGAGCCCTCGCGGCCCTGCCCGCCTCTCTCCTCAAAGCCTCCGTCCCCCACCCAGGCCAGTGCGGAGACAGCGGCCCTGCAGACGGGGACCTTTGGACACACCCCCGTTGACAGCAAAGCCAGGAGACGCCTTCCCACCTTTCCAGGAGCCTCCTCTCCTGGGGCATGAGGACAGCTCAACTGAATGAACCCCATCGGCATCCTGATCACTCCTCTCCCTCAAGTCCTTCCTCCGAGTACAGGCCTCCCGCAAGGCCACGCGACTTCTAAGCCTAGGATGATGATTGGACCCCACGACGGCGGACACTGGGGGCCTGCTGCCTCCCACAACACATTGAGATCAACTGCAGCGCAGAACCCAGCCAGCTCCTTACACAGCACAAAGGCGACACAAATCCCCGTGAATCTACTCCTCCTGCTCTCAGACGGAGAGGAACGGGCGGCTGCTCCTCACCAGGCAGCGAGGGCTGGGCTGGTCGCTCAGGAGGCGGTCTCCCCTCGCCGGCCTCCCACCAGGCCCTCGACCTCAGGAGCTGCTGGCCTCTGTCCCAGGTCTCTCCGTGGGCCCCCAGGACACCCTCCAACCCCAGGCCCAGCTCGCGGCCTGTTCCAAGGCGGCCTGACCCTCTGGCCACAGGCCCCAGACACCCCTGGCTGGAGCAATGGGCTCCCCACGCGCTCCGGCTCCATCGGTCAGGGGGCCGCGAGGGTCTCCATGCACAGGGCCAGTGGGAGGAGCCCCTCCAAGAGCCCCCCAGGCTGACTTCCTCCTGCTGCTGAAAGGAGTCACCGCCGACCACTGTGGCAGGCTGTGTCCTTACAGCTCTGCGCTCGGAGTCGGAAACGGCGCTCAAGGGGCTCGAGGTGAGGCGGGGGCAGGGCTGGCCTCTCTGGAGGCTCCGGGGGAGAACCCACGTCCCGGCTTCCTCCGGCTTCCAGAGGCGCTCACATTCTTTGGCAGGTGACCCCCCGCCATCGGGGCCACCACCCCGACCCCGACTCCATTCTCACGTCTCCTCCTCTTTCTCTGACCCCCCGCCTCCCTCTCCTGAGGACCCTCGTGATGCCCCTGGGTCCACATGTTTACTCCAGGCCCATCTCCCCAGCACAGACCCTTCACTCAATCACCCCTGCAACGTCCCTTCTGCCACAAAAGGTGACACAGTCAGGGTCTGGTGATGAGGATGCGGGCACTGGGATTCTGCCCACCAGATGCCACACAGACACAACTCTCTTCAGCCAAGGAGGCCGAGCAGGGCCTGGGAGGAAAGGACGATCCCCCTCTTTCCACTTGGCCCAGAGAGGGTCTTCCTACTCCCAGGAATCCGGCAATCTTTGAAGGTTCAGGGCTTCTGAGTCATGTCCCGGGCGGGACCCTGGCTCCCCTAGCCTCCAGCAGACGTCCTTCCTGTCCCCCGGGAGGACCTGGCCACCTGCCAGGTCAGCAGATGGCACCAGGCCTTGCAGAGGCGAGCAGAGGCCAAAACGCAAAGAAGAGCCCTCCTCTAGCCGGTCATGGCCTCTGGGGGTGCGGGGGCCCTGCCAGCCCCCTCCTCCCACCTCCACACACCTCCCGTGTTTGTGTCCCTGTCACCCAGAAACAGGGTTTGCCAAACACCCCACTGATGGTGCTTCCACGGACTTGGCCAAACTCTCCCAGTGAGAAGCACCCACGTGGAGGGCATCCCAGAGCCAGCCTGCCAGGAGCCTGGGGCTGGTACAAGCATGTCCTGCAGGAGGCCCGGACGCGGGCGGCTCTCGTGAGCCTCTCGGCAACTCTGCAGCCACGCAGGTGGGCCAGGACAGGGACCTTCACACCCGCCGGTGACTCAGTCACAGGCGGGGGGCGTCCCCTGGAGTAGGAGCCACGCCAGGCATGTGGGAAGGCCGCCGCACCAGCCGTCACAGGGCGTGCCCGGGTCATGGGGCACGGCTCCCAGCCTGACACTGCTTGCCTCTCCAAGGCCTTGTGCCGTCTGCCGACCTGGCGGGTGGCTGTGGCCGGCCGGGGGACGGGAAGGACGTCTGCTGGAGGCCAGGGAAGCCAGGATCCTGCCCGGACACGACTCAGAAGCCCCGAACCTTCTGAGATCACAGGCCAT